CTTCTTCCTTCTTCTTCTTTTTCTTCTTTCTTCTTCTTCTTTCTTCTTTCTTCTTTCTTCTTTCTTCTTCTTCTTCTTTTTCTTCTTTCTTCTTCTTTCTTCTTCTTCTTCCTTCTTCTTCTTTTTCTTCTTTCTTCTTTCTTCTTCTTCTTCTTCTTTCTTCTTCTCCATTCTTCTTTCTTCTTCTTCTTCTTTCTTCTTCTTCTTCTTCTTCTTCTTTCTTCTTTCTTCTTCTTCTTTCTTCTTTCTTCTTCTTCTTTTTCTTCTTTCTTCTTCTTCTTCTTCTTCTTCTTCCTTCTCTTCTTTCTTCTTTCTTCTTCTTCTTCTTCTTCTTCTTCTTTCTTCTTCTTTCTTCTTTCTTCTTCTTCTTCTTCTTTCTTCTTTCTTCTTCTTCTTCTTCTTCTTTCTTCTTTCTTCTTCTTCTTCTTCTTCTTTCTTCTTCTTCTTCTTCTTCTTCTTCTTTTTCTTCTTTTTCTTCTTTCTTCTTCTTCTTCTTTTTCTTCTTCCTTCTTCTTCTTCTTCTTTCTTCTTCTTCTTCTTCTTCTTCCTTCTTCTTCTTCTTCTTCTTTCTTTCTTCTTCCTTCTTCTTCTTCTTCTTCTTCTTTCTTCTTTCTTCTTTCTTCTTCTTCTTTTTCTTCTTTCTTCTTCTTCTTTCTTCTTTCTTCTTCTTCATTTTCTTCTTTCTTCTTCTTCTTTTTCTTCTTTCTTCTTCTTCTTTCTTCTTCTTCTTCTTTTTCCTTTCTTCTTTTTCTTTTTTTCTTCTTCTTTTTCTTCTTCTTTCTTCTTCTTCTTCTTTCTTCTGCTTTTTCTTCTTTCTTCTTTTTCTTCTTCTTCTTCTTCTTTCTTCTTCTTTCTTCTTCTTCTTTTTCTTCTTCTTTCTTCTACTTCTTCTTCTTTTTCTTTTTCTTCTTCTTCTTTCTTCTTCTTCTTCTTTTTCTTCTTATTTTTTATCATCTTCTTCTTCTTCTTCTTCTTATTTTTCTTCTTCTTTCTTCTTCTTTCTTCTTCTTCTTCTTTCTTCTACTTCTTCTTCTTTTTCTTCTTCTTCTTCTTCTTTCTTCTTTCTTCTTCTTCTTTCTTCTTCTTCTTTTTCTTCTTTCTTCTTCTTCTTCTTCTTTTCTTCTCTTCTTCTTCTTCTTTCTTCCTTCTTCTTCTTCTTCTTCTTTCTTCTTCTTTCTTCTTTCTTCTTCTTCTTCTTTCTTCTTTCTTCTTCTTCTTCTTTTTCTTCTTTCTTCTTTCTTCTTCTTTCTTCTTCTTCTTCTTTCTTCTTCTTTTTCTTCTTTCTTCTTTCTTCTTCTTCTTCTTCTTTCTTCTTTCTTCTTCTTCTTTCTTCTTTCTTCTTCTTTTTCTTCTTTCTTCTTCTTTCTTCTTCTTCTTCTTCTTCTTTTTCTTCTTTCTTCTTCTTTCTTCTTCTTCTTCTTCTTTTTCTTCTTTCTTCTTCTTTCTTCTTCTTCTTCTTCTTCTTCCTTCTTCTTCTTTTTCTTCTTTCTTCTTTCTTCTTCTTCTTCTTCTTTCTTCTTCTTTCTTCTTTCTTCTTTCTTCTTCTTCTTCTTTTTTCTTCTTCTTCTTCTTCTTCTTCTTCTTTTTCTTCTTCTTCTTTCTTCTTTCTTCTTCTTCTTCTTTTTCTTCTTTCTTCTTCTTCTTCTTCTTCTTTCTTCTTCTTCTTTTTCCTTTCTTCTTCTTCTTCTTCTTCTTCTTTCTTGTTCTTCTTTCTTCTTTCTTCTTCTTCTTCTTTTTCTTCTTTCTTCTTCTTTCTTCTTCTTCTTTGTTCTTTCTTCTTCTTCTTCTTCTTCTTTTTCTTCTTTCTTCTTTCTTCTTCTTCTTCTTCTTCTTCCTTCTTCTTCTTTTTCTTCTTTCTTCTTCTTCTTTCTTCTTTCTTCTTCTTCTTCTTTTTCTTCTTTCTTCTTCTTTCTTCTTCTTCTTCTTCCTTCTTCTTCTTTTTCTTCTTTCTTCTTTCTTCTTCTTCTTCTTCTTCTTCTTTCTTGTTCTTCTTTCTTCTTTCTTCTTCTTCTTCTTTTTCTTCTTTCTTCTTCTTTCTTCTTCTTCTTTGTTCTTTCTTCTTCTTCTTCTTTTTCTTCTTTCTTCTTCTTCTTCTTCTTCTTCTTCCTTCTTCTTCTTTTTCTTCTTTCTTCTTCTTCTTTCTTCTTTCTTCTTTCTTCTTTCTTCTTCTTCTTCTTTTTCTTCTTTCTTCTTCTTTCTTCTTCTTCTTCCTTCTTCTTCTTTTTCTTCTTTCTTCTTTCTTCTTCTTCTTCTTCTTTCTTCTTCTCCATTCTTCTTTCTTCTTCTTCTTCTTTCTTCTTCTTCTTCTTCTTCTTCTTCTTCTTCTTTCTTCTTTCTTCTTCTTCTTTCTTCTTTCTTCTTCTTCTTTTTCTTCTTTCTTCTTCTTCTTCTTCTTCTTCTTCCTTCTCTTCTTTCTTCTTTCTTCTTCTTCTTCTTCTTCTTCTTCTTCTTTCTTCTTCTTTCTTCTTTCTTCTTCTTCTTCTTCTTTCTTCTTTCTTCTTCTTCTTCTTCTTCTTTCTTCTTTCTTCTTCTTCTTCTTCTTCTTTCTTCTTCTTCTTCTTCTTCTTCTTCTTTTTCTTCTTTCTTCTTCTTCTTCTTTTTCTTCTTCCTTCTTCTTCTTCTTCTTTCTTCTTCTTCTTCTTCTTCTTCTTTCTTTCTTCTTCCTTCTTCTTCTTCTTCTTCTTCTTCTTCTTCTTCTTCTTCTTTCTTCTTTCTTCTTTCTTCTTCTTCTTTTTCTTCTTTCTTCTTCTTCTTTCTTCTTTCTTCTTCTTCATTTTCTTCTTCTTCTTTTTCTTCTTTCTTCTTCTTCTTTCTTCTTCTTCTTCTTTTTCCTTTCTTCTTTTTCTTTTTTTCTTCTTCTTTTTCTTCTTCTTTCTTCTTCTTCTTCTTTCTTCTGCTTTTTCTTCTTTCTTCTTTTTCTTCTTCTTCTTCTTCTTTCTTCTTCTTTCTTCTTCTTCTTTTTCTTCTTCTTTCTTCTACTTCTTCTTCTTTTTCTTTTTCTTCTTCTTCTTTCTTCTTCTTCTTCTTTTTCTTCTTATTTTTTATCATCATCTTCTTCTTCTTCTTCTTATTTTTCTTCTTCTTTCTTCTTCTTTCTTCTTCTTCTTCTTTCTTCTACTTCTTCTTCTTTTTCTTCTTCTTCTTCTTCTTCTTTCTTCTTTCTTCTTCTTCTTTCTTCTTCTTCTTTTTCTTCTTTCTTCTTCTTCTTCTTCTTTTCTTCTCTTCTTCTTCTTCTTTCTTCCTTCTTCTTCTTCTTCTTCTTTCTTCTTCTTTCTTCTTTCTTCTTCTTCTTCTTTCTTCTTTCTTCTTCTTCTTCTTTTTCTTCTTTCTTCTTTCTTCTTCTTTCTTCTTCTTCTTCTTTCTTCTTCTTTTTCTTCTTTCTTCTTTCTTCTTCTTCTTCTTCTTTCTTCTTTCTTCTTCTTCTTTCTTCTTTCTTCTTCTTTTTCTTCTTTCTTCTTCTTTCTTCTTCTTCTTCTTTTTCTTCTTTCTTCTTCTTTCTTCTTCTTCTTCTTCTTTTTCTTCTTTCTTCTTCTTTCTTCTTCTTCTTCTTCTTCTTCCTTCTTCTTCTTTTTCTTCTTTCTTCTTTCTTCTTCTTCTTCTTCTTTCTTCTTCTTTCTTCTTTCTTCTTTCTTCTTCTTCTTCTTTTTTCTTCTTCTTCTTCTTCTTCTTCTTTTTTCTTCTTCTTCTTTCTTCTTTCTTCTTCTTCTTCTTTTTCTTCTTTCTTCTTCTTCTTCTTCTTCTTTCTTCTTCTTCTTTTTCCTTTCTTCTTCTTCTTCTTCTTCTTCTTTCTTGTTCTTCTTTCTTCTTTCTTCTTCTTCTTCTTTTTCTTCTTTCTTCTTCTTTCTTCTTCTTCTTTGTTCTTTCTTCTTCTTCTTCTTCTTTTTCTTCTTTCTTCTTTCTTCTTCTTCTTCTTCTTCTTCCTTCTTCTTCTTTTTCTTCTTTCTTCTTCTTCTTTCTTCTTTCTTCTTCTTCTTCTTTTTCTTCTTTCTTCTTCTTCTTCTTCCTTCTTCTTCTTTTTCTTCTTTCTTCTTTCTTCTTCTTCTTCTTTCTTCTTTCTTCTTCTCCATTCTTCTTTCTTCTTCTTCTTCTTCTTCTTTCTTCTTCTTCTTCTTCTTCTTCTTCTTTCTTCTTTCTTCTTCTTCTTTCTTCTTTCTTCTTCTTCTTTTTCTTCTTTCTTCTTCTTCTTCTTCCTTTTCTTCTTTCTTCTTTCTTCTTCTTCTTCTTTCTTCTTTCTTCTTCTTTCTTCTTTCTTCTTCTTCTTCTTCTTCTTCTTTCTTCTTCTTCTTCTTCTTCTTCTTCTTCTTCTTCTTCTTCTTCTTCTTCTTCTTTCTTCTTTCTTCTTCTTCTTTCTTCTTTCTTCTTCTTCTTCTTTCTTCTTTCTTCTTCTTTCTTCTTCTTCTTCTTCTTCTTTCTTCTTCTTCTTCTTCTTTTTCATTTTATTCTTTCTTCTTCTTCTTCTTCTTCTTTTTCTTCTTTCTTCTTCTTTCTTCTTCTTCTTCTTTTTCTTCTTCCTTCTTCTTCTTCTTTCTTCTTTCTTCTTCTTCTTCTTCTTCCTTCTCCTTCTTCTTTTTCTTCTTCTTCTTTCTTCTTTCTTCTTCTTTCTTCTTCTTCTTCTTCTTTCTTCTTTCTTCTTGTTCTTCTTCTTTCTTCTGCTTTTTCTTCTTTCTTCTTCTTTCTACTTTCTTCTTCTTCTTTTTCTTTTTCTTCTTTCTCTTTCTTCTTCTTCTTTTTCCTTTCTTCTTCTTCTTTTTCTTTTTCTTCTTTTTCTTCTTTCTTCTTCTTTTTCTTCTTCCTTCTTCTTCTTCTTCTTTTTCTTCTTCTTTCTTCTTCTTTTTCTTTCTTCTTCTTTCTTCTTCTTCTTCTTCTTTCTTCTCCTTCTTCTTCTTCTTTTTCTTCTTCTTCTTTCTTCTTCTTTCTTCTTTCTTCTTCTTTCTTCTTCTTCTTCTTCTTTCTTCTTTCTTCTTTTTCTTCTTCTTCTTTCTTCTTTCTTCTTTTTCTTCTTCTTCTTTCTTCTGCTTTTTCTTCTTTCTTCTTCTTTCTACTTTCTTCTTTCTCCTTTTTCTTTTTCTTTTTCTTCTTTCTTCTTCTTCTTCTTTTTCTTCTTCTTTCTTCTTCTTCTTCTTCTTCTTTCTTCTTCTTCTTCTTCTTTTTCTTCTTTTTCTTTCTTCTTCTTTCTTCTTCTTTCTTCTTCTTCTTCTTTTTCTTCTTCTTTCTTCTACTTCTTCTTCTTATTTTTCTTCTTCTTCTTCTTCTTTCTTCTACTTCTTCTTCTTATTTTTCTTCTTCTTCTTCTTCTTTTCATTATTATTATTATTATTATTATTATTATTATTATTATGTGGTCTTTCGCTGTCGTCCAACAAAGACACCAGGAGTCAAACACAAAACAGGTTTCTGTGATTGGTCTGATGGGGGGGGGGGGGGGGGGGGCTTGGCAGCAGATACTTGTGGGTCACTAACCAGACAGCCAACAGACCTCAGCTGGGGTAAAACTTTTATTTTTTAATATCCTTTCAGCTCTGTGCAGACAGCTGACCACTAGGTGCTCTCTAAACATTTCTCAGGATTTTTGCAGATTTCTGACATTTCATCAGCTTTGGCTCCTGTTCTCATCAGCTGAGCATTATGGGGGTCAGAGAGCCAGTTACATTATGTTTTCCTAACAAAACCTTCCTGATGTTCATTTCCATTCCTCGTTTGGTTGTGTCAGAGCCTCCCAACACTGTGCACCGTCCCCAGCCTCTGCCTCCGTCCTCGGGCCACCAGGCCTCCAGTGGTGGAGGGCAGGGAGAGGGAACCTCTGCCTACTGTCTCTCCTCCGGGCGTCACTCCTTTTCAGGCTACTCAGAAAGCTTCGTTAGCCCTGGAGGACCAACGAATCCCATGAACCCCACCATAGGAAATGGAATCTCTTCACAGGTAAAAGAAAATGTGTTTGGAAACTGCATGAATGGACTATGGGGCACTAAAGAGAAAAGGTCAAAGCTATATTTTACTTTAGTCATTATTTAATAATAATATTTTTAAAAGGTGATGTTTTAAAAACACACACACACACACACACACACACACACACACACACACACACACACACACACACACACACACACACACACACACACACACACAGTAGTACGGGCATCTGCGTCGGCTCTAGCTGAAGCTAGTTAGGGCACAACGCATCCACAGCTTGTTGCTGGCTGAGCTGGATCTGTTTGTTTACTTTCAAATGATGAACTTGTCATTAGTTCGTTTTCAGAGTCTTAGACCTTCACTAAATTCAGATTCAAGAACTTTCAATTTGTTTTCAAGATTTTCACAGCATCTTACCCAATATGCCAAATAAATACAAGTTTTTCTCATAAAAGTGAATATTAAAGTATTTCAGATTCAGTTTCAAGTAGTATTCTTATAAATTTATATATATATATATATATATATATATATATATATATATATATATATACACACACACACACAGCACTGAAAAACACAACAACAGCACCACAACACAACACACCACACCAAAGCAGAATAACAACGGTGCTCTTATTTAGTGACACTTTCCTGCAGAGCGGAGAAGACAGGTGACAGTAGCTGGACAGAGGACACATCACTGTGAAAAATGAGAAGTGAAAAGACAATTAGAGTCAATGATCCAGTCATCAAGTCTCAAGGTCCCAGCACCTAGACACTGGGATGGGGGAGGTTGGGACCCTAACAGGTAGAAAATGAGATTTCCATCTGATGCTGTCTGACCCCTCAGAGTGAGAAGACAGAGGTGGAGAGAACTGATCAGCTCCATGACGTTCAGAGGCTCAGTTAAAGATTTTTGCAACATCTTGAACACAAATATTACACGACATGCTTGAGCAGCACGGCTGGATTTTCAACTCTGTTGGGACTGGGTGATGAGTTTCTGCTTTTCTTTTTTTTAAAGCCAACTCCAGCAACAAGGCAGCTTTTGTTGTGCTTGTCTTGTGACTAAACGAGTAAGCAACACACAAATGAACCAACACTCCTGAAGCTGCGCCACTGCCCCAAAGGAGGACTCTCACATCAAAACGTTTAACATTATTTTCAATTCTTCCGAGTGAAACCAAAGGGTCTGAATTATATGTATGTATTTCATACAGCTGGGAAGGAATGTCCTGTCTGAGATGTTTCCTCCCCATTCCGACATTCTTCCCCGCTAAGGCGCACCGATTTTGGCCGCTGGCTACGGCAGAGCTTCAGTAAGGAACACCATGGAAAAGCTGGTCAGCGGGCAGCTCCGGGAAAGAACGGCTTCATGGGTCAGACTCTAGTTAAAGAGATAAAACAGATAACAACGGTACTAAAGGAAGTCTGTCTTCCTTTGGGCTCTGGGTTGTTTAGCTCCGCTGCATCTCTCCTTTATTTCTGTTTAGACCAACCTTTTCAAGCGCAGGTTAATATTTTTAGGAAAATGTTGCCGGGCATAGAAGGAAACAGCTCCCCTCTGAAAATCCACATGGTCTCCTCCACTCACCTCCTCTGCTTGGGAAATGATTTAAGCAGGACCATGTGTGTGTGGATGTTGAATAAAATGTCACTTAGAGGGCCAAGAGGACACAAAGAGCAGTGTACCTGCTTCTCATTAGGACAGCAGAAGCGCCTCCAGGCCTTTTCTCCGTGGAGACAAGGTGGGATATTATACATTTGGAGGTTCAGTTAGAGACACATTCATAAGTGACAAACCCAGCCTCAGTTCCACTGAAATGGTATGAAAGCAGCCTGACGATTGAAGCGTGGGTTAGCGGTGCGTACGCAGGGTGATGGTGATGTTGCAGGTCAGCTTTGATGCCGTTTGACCTGCGGCTCTTTCCGTCTTTTACGGGCCGAAGAATATTAAATTATCTGGTTGCTAATAAAGACCAGCTCAAGAGCTGAAGGACTCCTCCAGACTGTGGTTTACCAGAGCCCGTCTCACACAGGCCGTTCCTTTGTGTCAGCATATCGGCCTCAGAGATAAGTCTGTATCTTGTACCGTCGGCTGCTGGAGCAGCGTCAAAAAGAAATGTTAGAATAAGTGGAGGCATGGATCAGAGACAAATTGGTTGATTCTTTCTCTCTGGAGCTATTTCTGTCTGGGCTGGAGCTGGCTGTGAGCTGTTTGATGTCTGCGACTAGGATTTCCTCGGTGGATTTGTCTCGGGGTCAGCCACAACACATTTTACTCTCCTGGGCAGTCAGGTCAATCGTGGAAGGCAATATTCACATCATGTTTATTTTAAACACAATTGTTGTATTAAAGTCATATTTTCTGGTGTGTTGTACTGTGTCAGTGTGTTTTGTTGTCATCGTTACCTGCTCAGACTCCTAAAAGCTCGACACCTGTACTGGGAGGAGGCGTATGCCATCACAGAGGAGTGGCATCAGCGTTTTTTCCTCATCCCATAGTTTCAGTGATTGTTTGGAGCTGAATTAGAACATTTCCCATTCTGAAGGAGATTTTGTTTTATTATAAAAGTTTGACTGAAACAAGTTTTTTACCTGTTTTATTTATTACTAGTTACAGTAAAAAAGACACTGATGAACATTTCTCTTTAACAAAAGCTAAATGTAACCCTAAACTACACTCACCGTCCTTTCTTTCCTGACAAATCAGGTGATGGGTCTGCTGAACCCCGGCGGCGTGCCACACCAGCCCCAAAGCGACTACGCCATCTCCCCTTTGACGGGGGGCCTCGAGCCCCCCACCGGCATGGCCGCCAGCTGCAGCCAGCGCATGGACCACATCAAGGGCCTCGAGGGTCTCACCAGCATCCCCTCCATGTCAGCACTGCCCTCCCTACCTAGTTCCCAGTCCTTCTGCACCCCGTCCTACAGCTCGCCAGGCTATACGGTCGACCACGTTGCATCCTACCAGTATGGCCAATACGGACAAAGTAAGGTCAATGAGCTGCCTTTTTACTCTCACCTCTAACTTCAGCAGCCTCACATGATAATTTCAAACTGTCACCTCAATCACTGTAAACGTTTTGTTGTACTGTTTAAAAACAAACAACGTATTTATGTAGTGCTCCTCATCCCTGCTCTTCTGTTTTATTATTCTTGTTTTTATTCTTATTCTTAATCTATATATTTTTTAGCTTGTCTTCTTCCAGACTTTCAGAATAAAAGTCTCATCTGCACCTCTAAATACCCATAAAAATAGACTCAAAGAATTGTGGGCATTGCTTTGATTACTGGTTCTTTTTTAAATGTTTGTATTAATGGAAATAACTTCATTTTAATCTTTTCCCCTTTATCCTTGACACACTGTTAATAATGAATGAATGAATGGAGTCGTTTTGCCCTTCATCAGGTAGTTTATACAGAACTTTATATAAAGATAAATATACAAGATCTCAAAAGCGAGCGATAAAGCAGATAAATTGCTGTTTGAAAATAAGTGAACCTGTGAAACTACAGAATTTTCTCTGTGAAAGAGCAAAGTGTAAACACACAGAGAGATATTCAGTGTTGGGATCAGGTCTGAACTATACAGGTGCAACTGGAAAAGTCAGAATCTGGTGCAAAAGTTCATTTATGTCAGTAATTCTACCTAAAAGGTGAAACAAATATATGCGATGGACTCATTAGGCAAGACAGCTTTATTTTTGTAGCATATTTCACATACAGAGGCAATTCAATGTGAATTGCAAGAACATTAAAATCAATGTGACAGAAAATACTAAAATAAAACAATTAAAAAGAAAAGTTAAAGGGTGAGCAAATACAGTGTAGAACTTGAAGCAGAAGAACATTTATTCAAAGGCTGATGAAAACAAGAAGGTTTTCAACTTTAATTTAACCCTCTCTTCTAAATAAGTTTTGATAAAAGGAAGAACAACTAAGTCCTTCAGGGGTACTTCTGAGTTAAAAAATGCTCATGAAATACGTGTGTGGAGTAACCAGGTAGGTAGGTTTTAATGTTGATAATCTGCAACGCCTGCCTAGGGTTAAAAGTTTCTAGAGTTGGGGCGCATCTGAGGTCATGGGGAAGCTGATTCCATCTGTGTGCTGCATTTCATTTCCATTTCATTTAATTTCATTTCATTTATTTATAAAGCCCCTTCTGCGACCAATGCAGACACACAAGGTGCTGAACACAACACAATAAAAACATAAAACCATCAGAATAAAATATAACAACCGTAAAACCAGCATGAAATCAATTAAAAGAGGAGAGTAAAAGCAAAAAATAAAATCCAGAAAAAGATTAAGAGGCCGGGGAATCGAAATTGGGTAAAATTTGCTAATCCTGGAATGCCTTGACAAAAAAAAGGGTCTTAAGGCGAGTCTTAAAAACCCCCAATGAGGGTGACTGACGCACCACCAAAGGCAACTGGTTCCAAAGTGCATGTGCCAACACCGAGAATGCACGGTCCCCCCATGACCTGCACTTAGTGCGTGGAACGATCAACAGCTCCCTGCCGGCTGAGCGAAGGGCCCACGAGGGGGCATGCCTATGCAAAAGGTTGCCAAGATATGCTGGAGCAGTTCCTTGTAAGGCCCTGTATGCCAGCACCAAGACCTTGAATTTTGCCCTGTATTGCACAGGCAGCCAATGAAGGAATGCCAACACAGGGGTGATGTGCTCCCTGCGCCTAGTGCCTGTCACGAACCTAGCGGCTGAGTTTTGTACTAACTGCAAGCGTGCTACCGCACCCTGACTAAGGCCGGCATACAGTGCATTGCAGTAGTCGAGCCTTGAAAAAACAAAAGCATGTGTGACAGTCTCTAGATGTACTCTGGACAGCAGGGGCTTCATTCTGGCTAGTCGGCGCAAGTTAAAAAAACACGATCGCACAACCTGATTGATTTGCGCGTCCAATTTAAGGGCTGAGTCCAGTTGCACTCCCAAATTTCAGATGGTGGTCTTCATTCAGATGTAAAAAGTTTGTAGCCATCCAGGAGCGCACATCCTCTAAGGCATCTACAAGCTTTGATACTGACCCATCGAACTCCCGCTGAAGGGGGAGGTAGATCTGACTGTCGTTAGCATAAAAATGAAAACACACGCCGAACCGCCGAAGAAGATTCCCCAACGGTAGTAAGTAGATGGCAAAAAGAAGCGGACACAGTACAGACCCCTGTGGCACACCCCACTTGAGTCCCGCCCAGGTCGAGGAGGTTTCACCTACACTGACACAAAAACTCCTGTCGGATAAGTATGAGTGTAGCCATTGTAGGGCTGCACCGGTAATTCCTGCCCAATGTTGTTGCCGATCCAAAAGTATGTCATGATCGACCGTGTCAAAGGCCGCAGACAAATCTAACATCAAAAGAATGACAGCATCCCCACCGTCACAAGCTAAAAAACATCATTAAGAACCATTAAAAGTGCAGTCTCGGTACTGTGACCTGCTCTGAACCCTGACTGAAAGATCTCCCAGAGTTCGTGTCTAAAAATGCAACCAGCTGTAAATATACAACCCTCTCAAGCAGCTTAGATAAGTAAGGTAGATGTGAGATAGGTCTGTAATTGGCTAACCCAGTTTCCTCCATCCCCTTCTTTTTCAGCAGCGGTCGTACAACAGCCCTCTTAAAGGTAAGAGAAACCACACAAGAGGCCAGACTGGTATTTAAGATAACCAGTATATAAGGGGCCAGAACAGAAAAAGCCTCCTTAAGCATCCTTCGGGGAAGAGCATCATAAGGGGAGCCAGAAGGTTTTTGCTTAGAAATGAGTTCCTCTAGCTCTGTTATAGATATAGTCTGGAAGGCTGGCAGGTTTGCCCTAAGTGGCATAGGTGCCACGAAAACAGGAGTGTGGCCTACAATAGCAGCTCGAATCATCACTATCTTGTCCACAAAGCAGTGAAGAAAATCTTCACATGTCCCGGCCATCGCAGCCGTGGACCTGGAGACAGAAGTTGCAGTTTCCAGTACTGAATCAATCACCTTACAGGGAGTGCATGGGTCATGAGAATTTGATTCCACAATGTTGGCATAGTATCTGATCCTAGCCTGTCGTACCACTTCCTGGTAATCAAAAAGTGACTTTTTATAAATTTCATAGGACACGCGAAGTTTGTCTTGCTTCCACTTTCGCTCAGCTCTCCTGCAGGCCTGCCTGGAGGCCTGGGTCTCATCAGACAGTCACGACTCTGCCCTATGCCCTCCTTTCCTAATCTTAAAGGGAGCAACATCATCCAAAACAGATGTGCATAGCGTATCAAAACGAGTAATAAATAAACTCTTCAAATGGGAGGTGGGCTAAGAGAAGATCCTGTCCTGCTTGACTAAAGCACTCACTGAATCTCGCCACCTTAGCAGGATTTATGGCACGACTGCGCCTCTCAGGAAGAGAAGCTGGGACCTGCCGAGACGGAACACTAAAATTACATAAAATCGGAGAGAGGTCTTAGAAAACAGGCCTCAACGTGTCCACATTAATGGACTGAAGATTAGAGGAAAGAACTAGGTCAAGTTTGTGTCCCTTCACATGTGTTGAACCCTGAATCCACTGAGAAAGAGTCAGGGAACTTAACAGGTGCAAAAAGTCCTCGACCATTGGCTTATCAGGGCAACAAATATGGATGTTTAAATCTCCTGCAATCAAAATCTGATCATATTTCAACACATTCATAGCCAAGAAATCAGCAAAGTCTTTTAGAAATTCCACATTCAGTCCAGGCAGGTGATAAATCAACGCCACAAGAGTAGAGGAAAAGGTCCAAGTTAAACCTCAAAACTAGAAAAAGGACTTAAAGGGATAATCTTTTTGCAGCTGAAACCTGATTTATAAACAATGAGGAGCCCCCCGCCCCTGCCCACAGTCTGCAGGTAATAATTCCAACAGGGCCCTCGTGTCTCCCATCGGCATCCAGGTTTCACAAACACCCAAAAAATCGAGCCCTTGTTCCTCAAAGAAGTCTTTCAGAATAAAAGTTTTGTTCATTACCGACCTTGCATTAACCAGGCCGAGGCGAGCCGATGATAACGTCTTTGGTGCAGTAGCAGCAGAATCCAGAGACACAGGCGCAGTTGACACGCAGTCGACATGAAGCAGATTAGCAAGGTTGGCACCCTTCCAGCGGTAGCAAAACCCCCAGAATACACGTTGCAACGGAGCATCCAAGTCGAAGCCCACCAACGGCACCAAGCAGGATGGTGGAGGATCCAACAAACGCGACGGCGCCACGAGAAGACGTCCAGGCCCACACAGCCCGGCGAGCTACTTCCAGGACCGGGGCGGTTTGGCACGTAGGTGCACATGATTCCCACCTCGGCAGCCACGACGCCGGCGGTGCCTCCTCTGCTGATGACGACCGGATGCACACCGCGGAGGGATGGGTGGCACCGAGAGACTCCGAAATGAGCGCGGGGGACTAAAATCCCCCCGGCTTGTCACAATCAGCGGGCTGATGAAACCGACATCAGGCCGGATTTCCAGAGTCGTTGCTCGATCATAAGTCAGCAGTAGGGATGCACTGTCCACACAAAGCGCAAGAACATGTAAAGAGGAGAGTGTCCATGAGACAGACGGCGTGCCACACACACCGGCACCATCTTGTCATAGTAGCTAAAAGCAGCTTCACCCTGTTTGGTTCTGACCCGAGGTTCTACCAGCCGTTTCCTAAGGATCTCAGAGCCCTGCTGGGTGTAGATACCTGAAGGAGATCTGACATGTATTCTGGCCCCATGCCATTGAGTGGTTTATAAACTAGTAGAAGCACTTCTATTCTATTCTGTAGTTTACTGGTAACCAGTGTCAAGATCTAAGAACAGGAGTGACGTGTTCAGGTCTCTTGGTTCTTGTTAAGACTCCAGCAGCAGCACTCGGAACAAGCTGCTGTTGCTTCACAGCTTTTTTGGGAAGACCAGTTAGGAGACCATTGCAATAGTCCAGCCTGCTGGAGATGAACACAGAGTAGTGGTCCAAGTGTTGAGCCTTGGGGGGCC